TTATGTGCTAGGAAGGAGGTACCATCACAGGTTTTGGAGTAGCAGAGCTTCCTGATGACAGCAGAATGTTAGGAAGACTGAGGCTGCATTTGTAAGAAAAGTGGCTTAGAGGAAACAGAGCCTGAAGTCTGGAGACTGGTGAGGATGTGAGTCCAAACCGGTTGACCTGAGTGAAAACCACCTCAAGTGAAAGGCACTGCCTAGAAGAAATGGGAATGACCTAGAGTCCAACACAATAAGAAAACCTATGGAGAAGGAAGAAAAAAATGGACTCTAGCTCCTCATTCTTTTTGCCTGAGTAGTACTCCACTTTAAAAAAAAAAAACACATTTTCTTTATCCAGTTTCCAATTGATGGGCACTTGGGAAGTTTCCAAGTTTTAGCTATTGCAAACAGTGCTACTATGAACATGGGTGCACATTTATCACTGTGGTATGATTCTTTTAATTCTTCTCAGAAGATACACAGCAGGAGAATAGCTGGGTCAAATGGGACCCCTAGTCCTAGTTTTTTGAGGAATCTCCATACTTAATTTCCACAGTGGTTGGACCAGTCTACACTCCCACCAACAGTGGAGAAGGGTTCCTTTCTCCCCACAGCCCCACCAGCATTTGTTATTGGTTGATTTCTTGATAGCAGCCATTCTTTCTGGGGTGAGGTGGAATCTTAGTGTTGGTTTCATTTGCATCTCTCAAATGACCAGTGATGCTGAACATTTTCTCATAAGTTTATTTGCTATTTGTACTTCTTTGAAAAATGTCCGTTAATTTCAGATGCTCATTTTTGAATTGGGTCTTTAAACTTGGGAGGTCTGATTTTAAGTTCTTTATATATTCTAGACAGTAGAGGTTTGTTAGAGGAGCAGTAGGCAGTTAGACAGGGCCAGCCCCCCAAGAGCCAACATGGAGGACAATCAAGACACTTTCACTGAGGGCCAGCATCATAGAAGAGAAACTACCACACCCCATGCGCTTCCCCTAAGGATGAATAGCAGTGATTGACCTTACCCACCCCTTCCAGGAAAGATCCCTGACTGGAAATTCTTGTACACTTGCTATGTTACTTGCTTCCCCATTGGATCCCCATTTAATCAATATTACCTAAATGACTATACTTGTCATAATCTTATTGGTTGATCATAGTTTTATCCACCTTTTGATTTCTCACTGGATCAATATTGCCTAAGCAACTGTACTTGTAATCTTACTAGTTGACTATAGTTTTGTCCAACCTTGAACCCACCTCACCTCATGGCTTTGTCCCATAAAACACCTTTGAGAAGCAGGGTAAGCAGGTAACACATTTTCTGGTCTCCCTATTATCTCTCTTAGACAGAAGCTATCTTTCCCTCAATAAATTTTTCCTACTCTTAACCTGCAATGTTCCTAGAATTCATTCTTCAGTTTTAGAGAACACAAACTCGAGCTTTGGATATCTGGCAGGTTTGGGAGTTACATCTATTCCCCCTATATCAACTGGAGACACTAATAAAGAGAGCCACCTGCCCCTTCACTAGGAATGAGGTCTACTGCCCTGGCTGCCTCTGAATTGACAATTCCTCTGTCAAATTATTGTAAAGATTAAATAGGAAACTTGAATCTCATAAAAGAGAGATGAGCAGGTTCTGGTGTTTGGACAAATAACTACAAACTTCAAGGATAACACAGCTATGTGGTGCCCTGGATACAACTGTGGGGCCAATCCTAGATTTTCTAGGCATCTCAAAGAGTGGAGCTTGCTTAACCTTTATGGAACATCCATGACACACCAGGTCCACACTCCAGATCTGGAAGGATGAAGAGGGAGTTAAAGCAAAGGTATTTGGAAAAAAAGGAAGGTATTTGGGGCTGAAGGAATAGCAAGTGATGAGGTCAAATACATAATTAAATTCTAGGTCAGTTGGCCACAGTTGGCCATAGAAGAGGGAAGGAGGGAAGGAGGAGAGAGGGAGAGGAACAGCAGTTCCAAGGAGGAGGAGTAAGTTACAGCCAAATTCTGATGAGTCTTATGTGGTAGGGACCTTGGGTTTTATTTAGAGGGCAATGGGGAGCCATTGAAAGATTTTAAATGGGAGAAGGCATGATCAGATTTGTCTTAGAAATGCAACAGGGTGGTTCACTAAGAACATCCTGTGGTGGAATAGCTTGTTGAGATATACTAGCTGAGTCTTGCCTTCTCCATTGTAGGTTCCTGGTAAAGAATGAAAGGCATTCCTCCCCACCTCCTCCTCACTCCCACCCCAGGAGGGGAGCCAAGGCTTTCTATCTCTGAGGACTGGGTTGTCCTTAGCCACTGGAAAAACACAACGTTTTTGTGTATTCTGAGGCAAAAAGGAAAAGGAAGTTGCCAGGCCTTTATGTCTCTTTGTTTTCGGAGGCCTGGGTTCAGCCAGGGAGTGTCTGTGCTAGGAATTTAAGGAGGAGAAAAACAGCACTCAGAGAGTTTACAGGATTGTAGGATTTGAAAGAGGCTGAGGCCCAGACTTGGGGACTGGTTGGCTGTGGAATGAGCAGTGAGAAAAGGGAATGGAGGATGGCGCCTAGGGTTTTGGCTGGACTCACAGGAAGATGAGTGGTGAAATTGTCACTGGCTATCATGGGTCCTTGCTTTCATGATAATGAGATTAAAGCTAAAGCAACAGTATGCATTTATAGGCAAAAGCTTCAACTGGAAAGTAAGAGAAGATAAGGAAAGGACACCTGCTTGAGTAGAAGTCAGAAGGGGCACACATTGGTGAAAAGGATCAGACTGGCCCATTCACAAAAGAATGGAAACCAGTTTTGTCACAAGTCAAATGAGGGTTCTTTTTGCCCACTTCAGGTGGAAATTTTGAAGTGGCAAAATGCTGCTCCCTTTGTCAGTTTTCAGCTATGCTTGTGACTCTCAGCTCTTAGTGTCACAGCTGAGCCTTGAGTACCAGCATCTGTTCTTAATGTTATAGCTCCAGGTATAATAGTTCTTAGTGTTACAGTCCCTGATGGCTCCTCACCACCCCATCAGCTCCAGTGCAACACAGGTTTGTAAGCTGCTTGGTGGCCTTCTGGAGCCCTAGGAGCAACTTTTGCTGGCCTCTCTGAGCAGCTGCCTATGACCTCAGGTCTCAGCCTTTTCTTCTTCCTTTGCCAGTGGCCTCAGGCCTCAGATTCTGTCATTGCTGGCAGCCTTGGGCCTGGGCTCACCAAAGGCCTTCAGTCTCTGAAGCTCTTCAGGTTAATAACCCCTAGTGTTACCAAGCCCATTAGTGCAGCCCACCCAGCCCACTCTTCCCTAGGTAAAAATCATTAGCTGGGAATAGGACCACATATTGAGGCCTTTATCAGTACCTGGGCAATAGCACAGGTGACAGACAGTGCACTGGAGGGAACCCTCCTGCACCGACCCAAGGCTTATATGAAGGAGAAGGGCTCCACAGTCACAATCCTCTGCATTTTGCAGACAACTAGGGGACTTTGGGGGGTGTCATTTGCAGGGTGGAGCCATCCAGAGGGGCCATAAAGCAGAGCCATCAGGATAGGTGCATCTCTCAAGCCTACTGCAACCAGGTCCCATATCTTCTGGAGCTGCTGTAGGGAACCTAGGACACCCTCAGCTGTCATGACAACAGCTCACAGACAGCTTCCATACTTCCACAAAAATGGTGGGGTCAAAAAACATGACTTTTGTTTCACTTTTATTTACCTGTTGGGCATCAACAGGCCCAAGCAAAGAGTCATGTTTTTTGTTGTTTTTTGTTTGTTTGTTTGTTTGTTTAGCAAAAACCATTTTTAAGCCCCTGTATATCCTAGAAGAAAACACAAATCAAGCTTTTAATGAGTAACAAGTTAAGGGACCGGGAGTTTGTTCATCTTTTGACCCTATGGTGGTCTCTGATGACATCATGACTATGTTAGGAGAGATGACTGAATAGAGGAGAAGATATGTTTAGCTCTTAGGAGGAGCAACTCCCATACATCTGAGCAGCACACAGCTTTGAGAAGCACACAGCTGTGAACAGACTCCCACCCAGGAATTGGTGTATGGATAATTCTTGGGGGAGGAGGAAATCTCATGGCTACCCTGCTGCCACATGTCCTGTTGGCCTCTCCTGCCTGGACATTGACCAGTGACAGCATTTTCCAGGCAGATGTAGAAGAAAGTTGCCCTCGTTTGGCACTATTGGGAAATAAACAGCCTGAGTGCCAGTCTGGACTCAGGAAGCCTGGCTCAGCTTCAGTATGTGTTGAGAGACAGAGCCTACCCCATGGCTCTCAGGCCTCTTTTTCCTCATTGGTAAGAGAGCAAGGTTGGACCTGATGTTCTGCATGGTTCCTTCTAGATTGTGCATTCAGAGCCTGCAAACGCTCACTTGAGTGCCAGATGGAGCAGAACTCGCCCTCACAGCACATTGGGAGGAGCGTGGAGCATGTGCACAAGTGGCCAGGCTCCCACAAGGTCACCAAAGAGAATTCCTAGAAAGTATGGGAACTGGCAATGGGCCGGCCCCTGGGCTGTAAGTGAGAAGGGCAGCCTCACTTATTTCCTCTGCTGGGTTAAGGGCAGTGCCTGGTAAGGCCAAAGGCACTCTAGTTCCTACTTGTCAACAACCAGGAAGCAGACCAGCACCTCCCCTGACTCCTTGCTCACAGATCCCTCTCTTCAGCTGCACCCCATTGCTGCCTGGTACCTTCAGGAAGGCTCTAAAACTAGGAAAGTGTTTTCACAAGCTGGGCTTCTTGCTTCTCCTTCCTCCAAGCAGTTTTCCTTTCCCTCCCTACTCCCCTCTCCTTTTGTGATTGCTGAATTCATCTTTCTGATTACCTTCCCTAGGGACCGACAGACTGTCTGAGAGCTAATCTGACCAGTGGCCTGATGTGCTAGAGGGGCGGGAAGGGAGACAGTTCACAGAGATGCTCAGCAAGGACTCCCAACCCAAAGCACATAGAAGCCAACACTATGGTGCCAGTTTTTGCAAAAAGAGGTTGACCAGCAAGGAGGACAGGAAAAGTTAAAAGTTGCTTCCAGATCAGTGAATAGGGGAAAAAAAATTATAGGAAGACAATGGGGAGAAGCTGCTTATTGATTGGATGGGAAGAAGGGGAAGTTTTCAGGGTTCTTCTGCACTTCAGTAGATGGTCAGCATGCTTTTCCTGGGGTGAGTTATCATCACATTCTGTGCTGGGAATTTTCTGAGCTTGTGACATCAAGAGGACCAGATGAACTTTCTTCTTCTGTGCATAGCCATTCTTTTAAAAGCCAGTTTCAATCCAAACTTGAGTGGACGCTGGAGGCTTTTCCCAAAAAGCAACTTGACGACACTTCGTTAAGTAAGGAATTTATGAGAGGGAGTATCCAGGCCTTTGCTGGTTTCACTGGCAAGAAAATGTAACAAACTTAGTAGAACAAACTGCTAATGTGTAATCCATACATAGGATAGTCAGTTGAAAGGTTGTTATCCCCATTTTTACAGATAAAGAAACTAAGTCTCAAAGCCTGAAATAACTTGCCCAAGACTACAAAAGTAGTGCAAGTCTGAATTTCAGCCCAAATATCCTTGGCTTTCTTTGTTTCCCTTCCATTCTTTCAAACAATGTTTACTGATCTTCTACTTTGTACCAACATTCTCTGGGGAGTCAACGACAAAAGAAGTAAAGTTGAAGCTTTCAAGTGCATGCAGGATAGGCAGTGGAAGGACTTGCAACCAAAGGTCCATTGTATATGAAGGCACCTGGAGGTGAGAGTGTGCAGTACCATTGCTCACCACAGTAAAGTTCCTCTGTATCTCCTGAGTGCAGATTCCTGCGGCCAGCATCTGTAAGGTCAGGGTGAGGCCAAAGTGAGGTCAGGGTGACGCCTCACGACCCGCACTCCCTACCCCTACCCCGTCCAAGGGTGTGAGGCCAGCAGACTTCCTGCCCAAGCCTGGCTTCCTGAGGGAGGGCTCTGTCCGCCACGAGGTCCACCTGACAGCCTCAGCCTCCCTCCCTCAGCCCAATCTTCAGTTTAGCTAAGCTGCTGGATCCCTTTGGGTTTGATACTATCTAATTGGTTGTGGCTAATCCCATATTAACTTCTCTTGCAGAAGCTAGAGGGCCTTTCCCCGCCTTCCATCACATCCCAACCCCTACAGAAGCTGCTGTTATCATGTTTATGAGCCTCCACAGCCACAGACAGGCGAATTTGCATATAAATAACCTGCCAGCACAAGAGGCTGCAAGAGGCACCTGGTAACGACTCTTTATTACTCTGGAGAGAGAAGGGGAGCACGAAGGCCTTGTGCACTGGGTGGCCCAGTCGGGACAGCTACATTTCCACTGGCTGATTAGCTGAGAAAAGGTCAGTGCCCCCCTCAAACAGCAGAGGAAGAACCGAAAGCCTCGGAGCTCCTCCCCTTTGGGAAACCCTGGCCCTTGAAGCCAAGACCTGAGATAAAAAGACCTAGCCTGTCACTAAGGCTTCTTCTGCCTGAAAATTAGTTCAAGCAGCCAGGTATGGCCCTTGGTGCAGGTGGGGGCTCATGTCTTTAGAGAACTGTCTACTGCAGAGGACCTGGCAGGGAACATTTCCCAGACAAACAGCAAGAGAAAGGTGGTGAAAAATGGAGCACTGTTGGAGCCCCTACCTTGAGTCTTTGCACTGGGATTCTTGGGGAATGGGGGGTGGACTGGCCCTTGAAAAATAGCTAGGTGGGAAGCAGAAGAGGAAGCAGTCCAGACTGCATGGGATGAGGCAGGCAAGACATGGTCAATGAACAGCCACTGAGTGTACTGTTTGCTGGTAGAGTGGAATGTTTGGAGGGAGATCAACTGGAAGGACCACCAAAGGTGTGGCTGCAGTCATTGGTAGAGGTCCCCAGGTGATATGGTTGTGACTTTGTCTCCTGTGCCTTGAGGACTTTTGAAGGGAAAAGGCAAGTGGATGGGTAGCTCTGTGGGCTTAAGCTGATATCACCATTAAAAGTGGATGGCCCAGGTGTGGTATGCACACATGTAATCCGAGATGCTTGAAAAGCTGAGGCTGAAGGATTGCAAGTTTGAGGCCAGTCTGGACTACACAGTGAGTCCAAGCTAGCTGGGACTATATAATGAAGACTCTGTCTCAAAATTAAAAATTAAAAATGGCTGCAGATGTAGTTCCCAGGTAGAGAGGCCCTGGGTTTGATCTCCAGCAACACACACACACACACACACACACACACGGATGCCCCAAGTGTGACCAGTCAGCTGAGGCTTCTTTTGCCCAGATTGGATGGAAATCTCAAATTGGTAGTGTTACTCCCTTGAAATTAGTGGTTCCTGGCTTTGAATGACAGTGACTCAACCCTTAATGCCACAGCTCTGAGCCTTGAGTGCTAGAACTTCTCAGCTCTTAATGCTATAGCTCTTAGTGTTATAGTTCGTAGAGCTAAAGCCCCCATTAGTTTATAACCACCCCTATTAGCTCCACCACTGCTCAGGACTATAGTCCCTATGTGGCTTTCTGGAGCCCTAAAAGCCCTACTGGCAACTTTTGCTGCCTCGGGGGTGGGCGTAGGGCTGGCTCCACCATTACCCTCCTTGTGGCCCAGCACTGCCCCCTCCACTCTCTCTGAGGTACACAACTTTGCTGATCTCAGGTCTCAACCTTTTTCCTCCTCTTTTGCCAAAAGCCTCAGGCTTCACACCTTAGGCCTTGCCACCAGTCTGCAGAACTCTTCAGAGTTAATAACCCCTAATGTTACCAAGTCCTTCTACCACAGCCCACCCAGCCTTCTCTACCCTGGTTTTACCTAAAACCAGGCATAGGGGATAGGAACACTGGAGCAGGCCTGTATTAGGCTCTGTGCTGCAGCACAGGGACAGTGTACTGAAGGGAATGCTCCTCCATGACCAAGGAGTCTGAGGGAAAGCTGCTTCTATAGCAGAGGAAAAGGCTGCCGGGTGCAATCTCCTGCATTGCGCAGATCTGCTCAAGGACTTTTGGAATAGTGTCCAGAGGTGACAGGGCCATGCAAGGTGGGGCTACTCAGAGCAGCTATAAGGCAGAGCCATCTGGGATAGGTGTGTTTTTCACCTGTTGCAGTTGGGGTCCGTATCTTCTGCAGAGGCTTAGTGCATCTAGGACAGTCTCAGGTGTCATAGCAAGAGACCAAAAATGGTGGGGCCAAAAAACATGGCTGTTGTGGCTTTTGTGGTATCTCCAGGAAGAACTGTACTCTTAACTATGGCCCATTGGGGTTAAAGGGACACAGAAAAGAGCATTCACCCTGTTGCCTCCCCTATCTTTGTCTTTAGGTACAATTTTATTTTACTGCTCCTCAGGCAGGTGGCAGTGGTGGCTGGAGTGGGGGAGTCAGGTCATGCCCCTCTATGGCTGTCGGAGTCACTCCTCTTTTTTTCTGTTTCCCACAGGTCACCTAAGGAGACAAGGAGGGATCTACTAACACAGCATGCCCTGGCTCCTACTAACAGGCTTCATTCAGAGCAGAGAACACACCAAACAGAAGAAGGAACAGAGTTCGGTGGCAGCTGGGGCTTTGGAGGAAGTGGGCTTCAAGGATAGGCTCAAGAGACCAAATCTGTGTATGAAGTCAAGACTGTTGTAAAATAGAATTTAAAAACAAAATTTCCTAACTTCAAAAACCTCTCCGCAAAGGCTGTATCTTAGTATTGAGTAAGTGTTAAACCAGAATGTGATGCAGATCTCAGGCTCTCTGCTGAGAGATTGCAAAGACAAAACTCAACCTCATCCCCTTACATAGCCAAGCACTACACATGTGTTTTCTAGATGAATAATAACTAGACCTCGAGTAAGAGGGCTTGACAGCATTATCTACAACACAGAGTTCATCCTACCTTTACGTGGTAATTGGGGTGAGCATCTGTGTTACTTATGGCTTTATCCAGGGAAAAATAAGCTTCTTGTCTTCATGATAGGAAGTAGTTTTGCAAGTTGGAGCAGGATACTCACTGAAGTCAGGCTCTTACCCTCCCACAGGAACTGAGAGATGGGGCTGCTGTCTCCTTTCATGCTCTGAGATCTCTGAGACATTCCTGAGTTGTAAGACCTGCAAGAGGCTTATTAGCCATTATAGAAATTTGAAAAGATGAGAAAGGAATTCTGAAAAGGGAGAAAGGGAAAAATCTCTCCCTGTATTTTCAATAGAGGGGGCTCAGGCTCTTATTTTTAATTTGCATTTGCCCTTCCAGGATCCATCATCTAGGAAGTAGCTAGGTTAATCTGGGGGAAGCACTGGGTGCCTTTCAGACCTGGTTGGACTCCCAACTCTACCTTGTGCTGGCTGGTTGGACAAGTCAACTCTCCTCTGAGTTGCTTTCCTCATCTTCAAAATGAGAGTTATAATTATTACCCCCACGGAAACATGAGGAACGAATGAGATCATATTTTAAAGTCAACTGGAATGCAGTAAGTTCTTTGAAATACTTCTCTCTGAAATTAAATTGTATAGTATCATGAGGGCTGGAATGGTAGAATGAGTAGTAGTTCATCAAATCTCAACATGCTAACACCAAGGGATTCCTTGAATGCCTACATCAGATGGTTATGGAGCAGATGAGAGAGAAATGCTCCTTTGTGCAGCTGGTCATAAATTCAAGGAGCTTGTTTCCCTAAGAGGTATCATGTCAGAAAATATAAATAGGTTGCAGAAGGGTTTAGGGTATTTGTGGATGATAGCACTAAATGGGTTGCTAAGAAAGAGCAGATGTTGGGGCATGATCCTAATTCTGAGGTTGACAGCTTTGAGGGTAAAGCTTTTCCCATCAAATATCTTGGAAAAATAGTCAAGGGCAAGCTGGCTAGACAGATGTGTCGCGGGTTAGGATTTAGGGGATCATTCTTCTATTCCTGTGCTCCACATCCCACTGGTCCCCCAAATCCCCAAGATGATAGGCTGAATGTGCAGCAGTATCATCTCTATTGTTCCCTTGTCATTTCTACCAAAAAACAGCATTGTGTAGCCCTCTCCCTACTACGGAATGGCTACCTACCTCTGGTCTGGAATGGCCACCTCTCTTGAGATGGGGCAGTGAGGGCACAAAGGCCTTCAGTCCCCAGGCAGTGATCCAACAGAGAGCCACCATGTCCAAATGTCTTGTTGCTCTGCATTCTCCAGAACCCCACCGTTACATCTGTGGAATGCCTTCCTTATTGCCATGGCAACCAGGTTTCCTGGGAGGAAGGCCTATGGGCCCCAGCCACCATTCTGGGGAGTTGCTGTTGGTTCATGCCCTCCAAATTACAATGTTTCTCCCATGACCCAACAGTGCAGCCCTAAGTTGTGGCTACTAAGTGAAAGAGAGAAGGTGTCTAAACCATATTTGGACATTTTATTTTGGTTTGGCTTTGGGTTTTTTACCACTTGGGGCTGGAGAGGTGAGAAGAGCAATAGACTAGAGTAGTCCAAATTTCTAGGGTTTTCCAGGTGCCTCAGTGAGCTCATTCCTCCTTGCCCAGCACCTGCTCTCCTAGAATCAGAAAGGGGCTACTAGAGGCCCAGTGGGCCCAGTGAGCTGGGTGGTCAACTGTGATGTGAGGGCGGGTGAGAAAGAAAGCCAGCACAGGGCTGGCAGCAATAGCAGGTTTTCATCTGAGGTGGCTGAGGGTGTGGAGGGAGCTTCTGGGGCAGATGGCGGAATCAGGGCAGGATGATGACGGTGACAGAGCCAACAGCGACGGCTAGAGCAGAGCTAAGCCAGCACCAGGGGATGATTGAATGGCAGCTCGGGAGGGATTGAAGTGGAAGACAAAGGATTTGCTGCAGAGCCCATAGCCTGACGGAGCAGGGGACGCTTTAATGCCAGCGATAGTGGCTGTGGCGGGCCAGGGTGGGGGCTGGGGGTGATTTAGTACCTTGGAAGACAGAACAGGCAGGACCTGTGCTTTGGGGACAGAGCTGCAGGCTGCTGCCATCCATCCCTCTGTGAAGGCAGTGGTGATGGTGACGGAGGACACAGGCTGGCAGAGGGAGGGGTGGCGGCGACCAAGGGGGAGAAGCACAAAGCTGGCTCCCAACACCGCCGCCCGTGAACACATTTTGCCCACATTCAGACAAATTCCAGGGCAGCTTTTCTCTGGGAAAGGGAAGCATAGTTCAAAGAAAACATATTGAATTGGCTAGAAGAAATAGCTAATTGGTTCCAGCTAGCTTCAGAAACCCACAGAGGATCTTGTGAAGCACTGCAATGGGCCAGCAGCTGCCCTCGGCCCTGCCAGACACTGGAACACCAGGCTTGGCAGAGAGGGCACCCCAAAGCTGTCAGCCCTAGACAACAGCCTGCCCAGCCACCCCACTGCCATCAGAGAGGCTGTAAGGCACCAGGGCAAGGCAGGTGAGATAGGGCCAGGGACTCTACCAGGTTTGGAGCTGCCACCTCAGACACCTTCACAGGCTACTCTGACTCCATCTTCCCAACTGAAAAGGAGATAAAGCCAAACTAGCATCAGCCTGACATCTCAGGGCTTTTGAGAGAGTTGAATGAGAAAAAGTTATGATTCAAACACCAGCAATTATTGTCCATGAGCCATGAAGCTTCATGAGAGCAAGGAGTTTCCTGGGCTCACTTCATACCCTCTGTGTTGAGCACAATGCCTGGCACGAATATTGTTGAGAGTTAACGGATAATGGGGAATATTCATTCCTCCAGTGGTCCCTTCTGTCATCCATGCAAACTGACCCCAAGAAAGTTGGGAGTCCAAGCTAGGAACATTTGAGTGTGACCCTGCCCCAAAGCCAATCTCCAGTCATGTTCATATTGGTTATCATTTTTAATTAGTCACAGCTCTCTTGTCCTGGAAGACAGGGAGTAGGGAGTGATTCAAATTTGATGGAAGGGGTTGGTCTAGGAGCCCCTTGTCAGGAGAGAGCTAGGCTTCTCCTTGGGAGCGCCTTCTCTCTCCTGTCTCTGTGAAGCTCTCTGATTCAGAGGCAGAGATGGGGAGAGACAGGATCACTTTATGACCTTCATGCACAATTCAGTTTGAGATTTGGAGGCCCCACTATATATCAATCTTCTTAAACTACATACACATTCCATATTAATTCTAATTTGGATACAACCAGGAGTTAAGTGGCAGTTGACTAGTTGACATGTTTTGTAGACATGTAATCAAACACTTATTAATTTTGCTTTTGCAGTTCCCTTTTTGCCTCTTGGGGCCAATCTATTCTTTTTTGGGGTGTCAAGCATTTCTGGAGGCCCTTGCAAATGTCATAGGACCCAAGCAGTAGGCCCATCAGCCAACAAAGTACCTGAAAGGGAGGGCTGGTGGTAGAGCCAAGGACAGACACCCCGTGTTCTCCTAGAAAGGGAGAAGCACCTCCACTTAATGGCTCTTCAGGCCTTTTCCAGGAAATAGGAGACACGAGTTCTGTCCCCAGAAATATCCCCCATGTGCTGTGTGTACCTGGATGTCTTAGTTACTTTTCTTTCATTGCTGAGACAAAATACATGGAACCAAAAGTTAAAGGAGGAAAGGTTTATTTAGCTCACAGTTGGTAGAGGTTTCAGTCCATAATCAGCTGACTCCAAGGCAGGGTTGGCATCACAGAGGAGAAACAATTCATGGTGCCCACAAGGTAGCAAAAGCAGCAAGAGAGCTTAACACTGTCTTTCTCCCCCTTTTATCTCATCCAGACTACTGGGATTAGGGCGGTGCCAAATCAATCACTCACGAGTAGTGCTTTAGTAATCACACGCTCTTAATCCTAGCATCAGCACTCTAGATTCACCCACTCATGACTGCATGAGACTTTGGGGGGGACCTCTAGAGCCAAACCATAACACTGGGTAAGCTGTGGGACCTTTTGGGCTTCCATGCTCCCCTTGGAATAGGCTTGGGAAGCAGAGATGGAGCCTGTGGGAAGGGTTGGTCACCAAGACCCCTCCGCCCCAGGTCAGATGTGACTGTGAGCATGTGTAGGGATTCAGGAGCAGTGGGCTCTGGGCATCTGTGATCTGAGCTGAGGCCATATTTACTCCCCCTGAAAGGCAAAGACTTTCTGACAAGTGGAGGGAGCTAGCCCTTCTCCTTAGTTCCTGCGACCAAGAAAGGGCCCAGTCAGACCCAAGTCTCATTACACCAGCTCTCTGCTTGCTATGGACTGAGTGCTAGTGTCCCCAATTCATACATTGAAGCCTCAAAACCTAATGTGACTGTATTTAAGGTTAAATGAGATCATAAGGGTAGGGACCTGATCTGAAAAGATTAGTATCCTTGTAAGAGGAGATAGAAGAGTGCTCCCTCTCTTTCCTCTGCCCAACTTGCCCTCCCCTCTGTCATCTGAGGACACAATGAGAAGATGACCATCAGTTAAAGAGCTCTCACCAGAGCTTGAACCCTTCCATACCTTCATCTCGGGCTCTCCGTCTGCCAGACCTGTGAAAAAATAAATGACTATTGTTTAAGCTGCCCAGACTATAGTACA